TTGTTGTTGTTGTTGTTGTTGTTGTTGTTGTTGTTGTTGTTGTTGTTGTTGTTGTAAGCAAGCAAAAAGGAGTGTAACACTAGTGTTTTCGCAAGCAACAAAATGTGCTCAACTTCCACAATATCACTGTACTGATTCATCCGGTTACTTCCCGGCACCATTCCTGTGGCGGACCGAAAGATAGAGATAGACCGGTTGTGCTGGTTGTGCTCCCCGCAGTGAGCATCAACGGGCTGACCGCTCGGGTGGCCACTCGATCACCAAAGCTGCTCCGTTGAAAACTCTTCTGTTCGAAAGTTCCAGCCAGTTCCAGGCAGCGACCGCTCCAAAAGTACTGATGGGACAAGAGATGGCTGTGGCTCCAAATATCTCACCATCCGCGGGAGGCGTGGTCTACTCTTCCTTTACAAGGACTGCCGATGCTGGGGGTGCTGTGAGCAATAGACTACTAGACTCTTGACGAATAAAGCCTCCCAAACATAGATTGTAAAAACTCCTCAGGCCTGGGGGATTGAAATATGATCAACAGTCTGACATTAGGTGAAGAGCTCTTCAAAAGATTTTTGCAGACACCCCTTATCAAAGGAACCTTACCTGGAGGTGTTTCGGGCCCAAGAATGTTCACCCAGTTCATCCCCAGCACAGCTCACTCTTGCGCTACCACGTAAGAACGCGCGTGCGGTTACGCCGTTTGCTCAAAATCCATTCTACCCCAAACACTCCATGCGACTGGATATTGATCAGCTGGGGTGGTTGCAAAGGTGTCAATGGAGCTACTGTAAATATTCCATACATGGAAAGTCTGGGTACAGTACTTGGCACCTTGCTGGAGCAAAACACGCTTTCAACCCACCAGCCTCGAGCCAAACCACCGCTCTCCCCCAGGCCCCAAAAAATCTCTCCCTGATTCACCCTCGCATTCCGGCTTAAAGAAAAAGCGCTCCTCGAAACGGAGACGGTCACAATAACGGAAGTACTCCACGAACTCGTTGGGAAACCCTGCGCCTGGGCAACTCGGCGACCAGGGGCGGTGACAATGGTCCCCCCGCTCTTTAAGCACCAAAGCGACGGAAAAAAACACGAAGCATCCCAAAGCAGCTCCAGATCAGAAAGCCGGGGGGTTGAAAAGAAACCCTTCTGGCACACTCCATGTAGTGCCCCTAGTGATGCACTACAAGCACCTTCTGGGAAGGAGGTGCCAAACTACATGTCTTGGAGCTCGAACCATGCTGCTCAGCTGCTCTTCACGGGGGCCAAACGATTGATTGTACCATTTGTTCAGGCGTGTAGACCCTAGGGCTCCTGGCCCATATCCAGATGACAGGACCACCGGGTGTTTCTGCTTGCCGCGCTGGCCCGGTGTAAAGGCCTTTACACTTCTGCGCATGCCCCAACCGTCTTCCATGAAAACCAGGGGAAAAGGAGAAAGTGAGACCGGATCCGTGCTGCTTTTGCATAGGTGTCTCTCAACATCACATGAAAAAAGCAGACAAACATCCCAAGTTTGCTAAGAGAAGAGTCTGGTGATGCCGACATGCCCCGACCCGAAGGCTCTGTTGGTCCGGAAGCGACTTCGTTCGGTCCGTGAGCTCAGGGATGTGAAGAGAATCCAAAGACATGAGGAGGCGCCTGAACACAAGGAGGGTAATCCATGGATTGAAAGTAGAGAAGAGCACAGACCCCCAAGAGTTGAAAAAGCAACCCCATGGGGTTTGTGCCATCTTGAGGTCTGTGCCATCTACTCTGAAACCCACGGTTCTCCTTGTCTCTGTCGATCCGAGCCGCACAGGTCTTCGTGCCTGTGGATGTCGCGCAAAACGCGTGTGAGACGAAGACCGAGGGCTGAATCCTCTTTAGAGGTCGCTTGGAAGAAGCTGGATGACAGTTTTTGCCCTGGACAGTGGCCATTTGGCTTCTTTGATTCTCAGGTATTTCATATACTTGAAGGCTTCTGGAACTCACTGAAGTTATCAAGTAGGTTTCCCCTTGCCAGAGCAACAACCCTGTGAACCGAATCCATGGTAGAATATCTCTTGAGCAAACAAAGCACCAAAAGCACCAAACCACCGCGGACAAAAAGCAAACACAACAAGGAAGCCAACATGGCTGTTCTGATAGGCAAGATAGGGGGGTCAGACACCAAAGCATGGCACAAACACCATCGAACCAGACCGGGCCCTGGTTGCAAGCTTATCTGCGTCATTTAGAGGAACAAAAAGTTTGATAGGTTCAATCTGGAAAAGCTGCAGTCAAATGCAAAGCAAACTGAAAAGAGCAATCAAGTTGCATGCATATCATATCCCTATTACACTCCTGGAAAAAAATCATGGAAGTGGAAAACACCTTGTTTCTCCATACAACCTCCCAAAGCCTGGAACCATCGTTGAAGAGCAGCTTTGTAGAGGCAGGAACCATCGTGTCCAACGTCCAACTATGCAGTGTGAGCTTCCGTGTCAAGCTCTTTGGGTAACAAACATGAAATGATATGACATGATTGAAAGATATTGAAAGAATATTTCAATAGCATGAAAGAATCTGAGGGAGGTGCATGGTGGCCGTCTTCTTCTTCCCAATGCGCTTCTTCCGCTTCTTCTTGTCTCGATGGTTAATCCCCTGCCTCACAGCAGCAACGCGCTTTCTGCGCACAGGTTCGCCGGATTCGATTTCGAGAACCTCTGGGCAATGGATGACCAAGCAGGAGAACGGCTACACAATAAAGCTACAGAGAGACGGGCACAGCATGGGTAGTTCCTTTTTCACTGCAGTGAAGGTTGGGTCCCTGCGACATTCGATCGATTATCCTGATTTCGATCTGAAAACCCATGCCCTCCATTCAAATCCAAATGGAACCCCCCCAGCTTGTAAATGAAAGTAGTCTTCCATGGAGCCATCTTCCACTTCACGATAGCTGGAAAGCTTATCCCTAAGATCTCAAGAAACCAGAGATTCTGTAGATCCAAGGAGAGATGCAGGACAGCAGGTGGCTTTGTTCCGCAAGTCAAGCAAAGACTTCCCAACCTCTCGACCCTGAATTGCTTCAGTGAGACAAACCACCTTTGTTCTAAGGAAGCGTGTCCGTAATCATAAGCAGCTTCGTATTTGCAACCTCTCTGGGTATTCCACTCCCAGTCCAGCATCTTGATCAACCACACTAGGCCTAGGACCCACCAGTGCCCCATGATCCACCTCTCATGTCACTGCCAAACTAAGAACATCTCGCAAAACGTCACCCAACCTGCGCCCTCCAGTCGCTCATGTCACTGCCCTCCTCTTCGGTCCAAGTAGCCAGGGCAGCTGACCCCGCAGGAAGTAGAGCAGGACATATCCGATGGAGCCCAAATCATCTCCTCAGCCGAGTGTTCGCATTGGAGGGTTCTACCATTGCACGTCTATGAAAGTGGTATAGATTATGATTCAAACATTCAGATTGGGATTCCAAATGAAAGTCCGGCACAAGCACAAGTGATGGGTTCACAACCCCAAAAAAGTATTGACCCCTTCACAACAACCCCTCAAATCACACAGTCTTGTTTGAGACTTGCTAGTTTCTGGGTGTGTTGCTTCACAATCTCCTCTATATGGTGGGCTTTGGTTGATGGTTGGCGACCACCATGCAGTGGTTGTTGGCTTGAGTCGAATACCCATTCGCTGCGGGAGATCCGAGAGATGAATGGCGCCCCAAAAGGACGAAAAACAGCAGTGCTGAGTCGAATGGAGAGCGGCTGAGTCTCAGCACTGCATCGCCGGTCGCGGCCAAGAAAACCAGACCAGCCCGTCTCGTCTCGTCCGAAGCGGAGACCACCGGTCACCGCACCCAACTGCACCCAGAAAAGGATCCTGGACAAAGCTGGTTGACGTCTCCCTTCACCTGGTGTTTTTGTCCCAAATTCGAGTAAAATGAATGGTTCGCCATGGGATTCGGACCCTTAAATCAATGGTGGGCCAGGAAGCCCAACGGGTGCTCTACAAACACACCGTCCGTCCACCCCAACGAGTGCTCTACACGGTGTTCTCTTTCGCTCCCCGAAGAAAGACTGACAGCTGAGACCAGAGCCAGAAAGTTGGAACATGTTCCTTTCCCGTTCGCCTTCCCTTCGACCATTTAAAACAATTGTTGACCGGATTTTGTTGTGTAAAATCCTTAGTAGCACCATGGTGGTTCAGTAAAGGCTATTAACTTGATGGTGCTTGGAATTGTAGGGCTATGGTTTCCAACTGCTTGGAGCCCACGTGTTCTCCGCTTGGGGAGCTGGAATCCCATCCCATGAGGTTCCTGAGCCCCAAGCGGCAAACCTCTGATGATCCACCAACATGCATCTCTTTCTTCTTGAGAGAATGGAGAGAATGGTCCATGCAAAACTCTTGAGGGGATCGACCTCGCTGCAGGTTTTTCACACCCACCCCGATTTCATGTGCCATCCGGCGTCCTCTGGGCCCCGTGGCCCCTCGCCCCCACCACTACGGGGCTCCCTTCGGACTTCGACCGAGGCGCGACGGCTGGGTTCGTAGCCGCGATGGAGGTTCACCTGGGCTCGGTCGGAGGCGACGGAGGTCGGGAGGGACTCGGGGCCTCTCTCGGCGCCCCCCCCGCCGAGGCGTTGAAGCCATGTGCGACCAGCCCACGCGGTGCCCGAGCTGCCAGGTTGTCCGACGTGGACACGTGACTAAGTGACTTTGGCTGCCAGGTTGGCCGAGGGGTGTTCAGGAGGTCTTTGGTCCCGAAACGACGAGCGGGGGTGCACCGAGGCACCGAGTTGGAGCCATGGGTTTTTCCATAAGTTGACTTCATCCGATCCAGGGCAGTCCTGGATGTGGTTTTCCTCAGTGGTTGTTGACCAGTGACGTTGCTTTCCCAGGGATTGTCAGTGGAGCCTTCCGGAGTTGATGCGGGAAGACTTGACTCCTGGCTCCTTTTGATTGTCACTATCCGTACATGCCAAAAGAATCTGTTCTTACGGCAGAACAACATGGCATCGTTCACATGGCTTGTGGGAAGCTCTTTGGAAGCGGTCGGTTTGACGAAAGGATCTCAACCTGCACTCACTCCCACCCGAAACCCTTCCCCCTCCTCGAACAAACATCCGCGCTCTCCCTCCAGAGCACCGTGGTGTAGCGCGCGGTGCCCGTCATGCCGCTCTTCTTCACGCAGGGGATGTGCCGCCCCCGGCCATCGCGGAAGGACTTCGCCAGGCCGAAGTCCACCACGTAGATCTTCTCCTTCGACGGATGTCCCTCCGCCCGCGTTCGGGTCGGGACGGGACGACGGATTCGCGGCGGGTCCCAGCGGTCTTCGGTGTGCGGTGTGGGTGGATTTCCCGGAAGCGGAAGGTGGCGAAGAGAAGGCGGGTAGACTGGGATTGGTGGGGCGGTTCTTTTTGAGGAACGGGACCGGGAACCCAAATAGAGAACAGATTTTCCCAGTTCTGGGAATTCAATCATGGGGAAAATCGACGTCGCCCTGAGCAAAAAGGCAAAGTTATGACCTTTTTGCCAATATTATATATCCCTCCATTCCTCATCCTCCCGGTTCTCTGGAGGTCTTTGATTGGTTTTGAGCGAATCCTTCCAATTTCGGGCAACCAACACCAACACCAAATGGCCCTCCTGAAAAGGCAGCAGAGGTTGAGACGTCGAGACGCAAACAACATGGGCCCCAAGCAGGGTTACTCGAATGACTCGAATGACCCTAGGATTCCTGGCCCAGCAAGAATTGAACAGGCAATCCGGAAGAACCATTGCTTTACCAAGGAGTTTACACAACAGGTCCCCAGGTAAAAACAATGAATTTCTTTTCTTCATGGTCGAACGGACCGGCTGAATTATCGGCGCTCTGCGAGGGCGCCGGCTTTTTTTTCAGTCACCCCTTTTCGGGTCGTCGCTCGGAGAGCTACGCCACGCGAATCCGCGAGAGCTAGAGAGCGCTCCCCGCTCCCGGCGCTCCCGGTCGAGCGGGAGCGCTGCAAGGCGAGCCGGTCCTGTTGGCCTTTGGGGCCTAAGACAAAATTGCTCGGCTTGATGTCCTCGGCGGATCCATCGCGCTTTGGGCACCGGGGGACGACGGCAGTGGGGACGACGGCGGGGGACGTCGGCTGTGGGTCCGGAGCTCGGGACGAAAACGACGGAGACGGAGGGAGGAGCTACGAGCACCAGAAAGAAACAGAGGAAGAACAGTGGCAGACGAAGCTGTGCGCGCTTGGCATCACGCCGGAGGGCCAGGAACAACGACGATCTTGGCCTGGATAGCTCTTGAGAGGAAGAGGGCCTCGGGCCTAAGAGGTCTCAAAGTGGGTGACCCAGGGAAGTGAGGGTGCTCTGCTTAAAGGGCAAAAAAGGAGCCTCCAAAACTGACGGCGTCCGCTGGGCTACCCTGACTAGTCACGCAAAAATGTCTTTGGGCTTGGATACCAAAACGGTTATATAGTTTGGGGTTTCTGGGATCTGGGGATGCTGTCTGGACTTTCGTCGCTGAGCAGATGAAACATCCAGGAGTCACATGTCGGGATGGTTCTGAGTCCCATCCAGGGCTCGTGGATGTGATGTTGGGGCACCCCCAACCTCCATGGATCGCCCCCCAACCTGTGGCTGCTGGATGATGAAACATGCTCCACTCCGTTGGAGATCAATTGACATCTCCCACGGTGGCATCTGGAGTCCATCCGTTCCGTGCAGCGTAAACATCGCCCACTGAAACGGTGGAACGCACCGTTAAAAGAACACCAAAGCCAAGGAGCACCACCAGGAGCACCAGGTGATATGGTCCGGGATTCTTCCACTTAAATGCGCCTGGATGGAGTAACTTTGTCCCGGCCCTACACATTGCCCCTCTCCTGTTCCTTGGAGAAGATATACAACATAAGGCATCGAATCCCGCATCTTGGGATCAACTCAGTAAAAATGTCCACATCTACATCCTAACCTTTTGAACCCATCCCACAGGTGGTTCCTTTTTCCGGATCATCCACCCGGTGTGAAACATCCTCCACACGGGTCCCGACCCCCGTCCCGTCCGACCCCCGTCCCGCATCGGCGCATCGGTCCAGGGGGGCGGTGGCCGGGACCGCGCCGAGCGTCCCGATGAAGAATCTTGTGCGAATGAACGAATTCCATGCCTGGAGGGCCAACGGAACAAAAAGGGGCCTTGGACTCAAAAATGGAAGACTGAAGAAATCATAAGAAATCTACTAAGAGAACTTGAAGGAAGCAGTTCACAGGTTGAAATTCTGTTCGCAGCGCATGGCATTGATATTATAGCTGATTTGCAAAGAGTTGACGCCAATACGAACGACTCATCTCATCTCCGTTGCTTTGGTCTTTGAGAATGCACACTCCTACATGCACTGGAGCCTTGGCCGATTGTTACGTTGCCTAAGCCAGATCATTGTGCAGAGGCAAGGCAGCACGAGCTTTGCGAGAACACCGTGGGATTTGATCACCCCCAAACAAAAAGGCAACATATGAAAAGAAAAACTCCAGGGAGACTGCCAGATTTTCCCCAAAGTTCTTATGCGGCTGGTCGGCATGAAACTGCCGTGTGTTCTGGTTGATGTCATCAATTCATTGTGCACTTTGACTCAACCATGCGGACATTGCAAAAAAAAGAAGACAACAACACCAACCTGACCTGAAATGACTTGAATAATTCACCAATCTGCCCGGAACGTCTCACTGCCTAGAATCCAAGTTGCAGTCGATCATCTGCTCCCCGATCATGAGGACGGTCTTCAAGCTGAACTTCCTTCGACACTTCCTGGTGTCGTTCACAGAATCAGGTGAAAACAACGGCTCCCAAAAAACAAAACGTTGAGGGAAGTGTGTCTTTTCTGATTCAGCGAAGCAGTTTCACCACTTCCATCTGACCATGCGCTCTACCGCAGTCGCAAATTGGCGGCAGAGCGCCCTGCCGCATTCGCCTCGAGCAACAACGGTCGTCCCATCTTGCGTTGCCGCATTCTGGTCAGCTCCAGCCTCGAGCAACAACCGCACCACTTTCAAGTGGCCATTGAAAGCTGCAGCCATCAAGGCGGTTGTCTCATTTGCTTCTGCTGCATTATGGTCAGCTCCAGCCTCGAGCAACAACCGCACCACTTCCAAATGTCTCTGATGAGCTGTTCCCATCAAGGCGGTTGTCCCGTCTTGCCTTGCCGTCTGCCAAATGGCCCGATTCTGCTGCAAGATACATGTGGAGGGCGACGGTCTGCACCTGTCCCATTGGGATTCAACGGTTTCTGAAGCAAACTTGTAACTTCTATGACTCGATTGTTCTCACAAGCAAGTTGTAGCGCCTGCCAATTGGCCTCCTCAGGCGCACAAAAGTCCGACATTACCAATTGCAAACTTGACAGACATATCATCCTGTAGTTCGCCCATCTCTTCACTCAAGAGTCTTAATCGAAATGTTGTTTATCTAATCTCTCTGGCAAGGAGCGTCTTCAAATCCCTTTTAAAAAAATCATCCGTTCTCCACCATGCAACCCAGTTCCTTCTCATGAAGCCGGGTGAGAACGGTGCCTGCTACCGTTAGAATCTCCATTGCTCCAGCCCAGATGAGGAGGAAACTGTTCTTGAACCAAAACGGTTTCCGCCAAAATGGCTATGTGAGGGAATGGTGAAAACGCCAAAACCAGGGGTCACAAAGGGGTGGTGTTTAGTCCCTAAGTGCGTAGATAATGGGCACCCCTAACCTCCAATAGGCACCCCTTTGTGACCCCTGCAAGGTACATGTATTAATGACTTGTCCTTGTCGGGGAGTCTATGCATATAGTCTGATTCTGGTCCCTGCGGTCCCTGCAAACCCCCCGTGATCTACGCAACAAACGGTCTAAGACTGAAATCTTCAAATGGTCTGTGTAAAAAGCTGCCTGAGGACATGTCGAAAGTTGAAGCAAACACCTTCCTCCACAGTGACGATAGGTATCCATAGGTCCTGTTCATCTGATCCGCCGTGCCCAAGGGCTTGCAGTTCTTACTTCGGGTCAAAGCCTTTTCGCGCCCCATTTCATCCGAGCCAGCGCGTGAAAAAGGCGCGCGCTGACCCCCCCTGTCAGGCCAAGTGTCTTCATGAAGACATCTTCCAACGATGGGCCCAGGAGGTTCATGGCCATGATGTCATATTCACCTTTGGTGCCTGGAGAGTTGACTCACCCCCCAAGCAGAGACATCCCCCAGGTCGGTGTCGGTGGGTTTTTTCGGAGAAAGACATCGGTCCACACACTGAACCAGACCAAACCTTTTGGTTCCCTTGTTCTGACTGGGGTAACAATCCAGTTTCCCCTAGAAGAACACAAGTGGTGGATCGCTCTGAGCATGCTCTTCCGGATTTGGTGTGCTCCATAAAGAAAGGGCTAGGCACGTGACACGGGAAAAACCGCTCTACATCCTAAGTGGTTGGAAGGCAAGAAAAAGAGAGGCCCACTGGCTGCCTTGCTTCCTGGGCCCTCAAAACCTCAAACACTTGACAACCCCGCAGCAAACCATCAGCAAAAAGCCCATGCATGTCCACCAATAATCTGGCTCCGGGACAAAGAGCAGAGACACCACCACAGCAAGACCAAGACATCAAGTAAGACAGGGACAGAATATTCACAAACATGCAGGAGAGTGGCGCGTGTTACTATGTTGGTGAGAGAACTTAGGGTCTGAGTCGGCCAAAAGTGAGGAGGCCAACTTAACAGGCCACAATACAAACAGCTACGCCCTTTGGGCGGGCGTCCAGACGTGCAACTCCGGACGTGCCCCAGCACACCGCCCGCGGGCTCGATCAGTCCTCCCACCCTGGCAAAAAGAATTCATCAAAACTCTCAACCTTCGCAGAACATAAGCCTATCAGACGCAGCCCGCCTATCAGACCAGAGCTTTCGGGGACAGACGTGCTTGTGGCCACACCAAGCTTCTACCAGGGGCGCTCCACAGCGGGAGACTTGGTTCATGGCCGTGTCTCATCCAACACCCACACGCCGAGCGCCGCGAGGGCATCGATTGCAAGTGCCATCTGATCTATCTGTCGCTCTGTCTATCTGAATGCATGGCAGGAACCGTTGTTCTTTCCAAAAACATCCAAAAACTGTAGCTTTACTCACCCAGGCTGGGAGTGCTTGGACGGTTTTTGGTGGCATCCTTCGTGATTTTAACCCTGTTAGAGACTTTCATATTTCTGCGGGTCTCTCTGTGGTATCCATGGGCAACTCCTCAGTACGTTTTCGCCGAAGTTCATCGGTCACGTCGACGTTTCATTCCGATCCTCGGCTTGGCAAAGGCGATGCGTTCCTCGGTGTTCGCAGGGCAGGGCCAAACTGCCACGGCCAGTGACGCGATGCAGCCAACGAGACCTTTGGCCTTGTTTGGTTTTGCAAAACGGGTCAAGGCGATGACAACTTGGGCAAGGCGATGCGTGGATCCACCGACATGGAATGATACAAAGCTTTTTGCAGCTGAAAGCTTGGGGTAGAGTTGACCTAGCCACTTGAAAATGCCTTTGGGGGTGTTGCTGGCAGTGTGCCTTCCTTATAACTTATACCCACGTCCTGCCACGTTCATCTTGCAGCACCTCTTCGTGCTTCTGGCGTGGCAACCGGACAAAAACCTAGAAAATAGCGTGTCCAACCCCACGAAAGGGCCCTGTCTGACTACGTCTACATCGGGCTGGCCTCGCCTTCTTCCTCCCACTCTTCTAGAGTGCTTTGGTATCTCTGCATCCAAACTAGAAGCCGCTTCAAATTTGGCAGCGGCCATATTAATTGCATGTTTCACTCGCCCACTCAGGTATATCAAAAACTCGGCTGTGCGATTCTTCCAGCAGGATGAATGCAGAACTTTCGCCTTTAAATCTTTTCTGCGCACCACTCCCGGCGCGTGTATTCTTTTGAAGCACCCCTCATACCGCGTAACGCATAGCTCGTCAGGCCTCACTATGCCACAAGACAGTCGCAAAAGCTATGCTCAAGTTTTAGATTGCGTCCTTGTCTAATACTGCATGTGTCGACCAAAAAACACTGTCACAAGCGTGGTGGTCACGGCGATTCATTGAGGTGTTGCTTTGCCTCGCCTTAAGCCGCTTAGAGCTTGGACTTCAGCAGCTTGCCTTGATACGTCTTTCTGTGAAGCTACAAATTCAAGCATGCGTTCGCCGTACCTTTGAACTGTGAGGTCGCATGCGTGTTGCTGCAGCATCATTAGCATTGTGGCTTCTTCCAGGCAACGCGGCAACGCACGTGCGTTCACACACTCCTCACCGCGCTCACTGCCACTTGCTTGGCGAAGTGACACTGTCCGCGAGTGTTTCACACTATTTCACACAGCCCTGTTTCCAAGTGGAACCGGGTTCCACCATTGAATTCAGGCCGAATGCCAGAGACAAACAGACCGGCACACACCCAGACACGACAGAATCCCGACTGGCTTGCTACTTGAAGAGGATACAACCCCAAGCAAGAGCAATCGGATGAAAAAACATAGCTCTCTTTTCATGAAAGTGGATGACCCAAGTCTCAACAGGTGTGCACTCCAAACCTCTTCCTTCCCACCTGGCCCGCGTCTCACCCACCTCAACTCCGCCTTTTTCAGGTGCCTGGTGGGAAGCCCGTCCTTCCCCGGTCGTCCCCGGTCGGTCGTCCGTCCCACCCGGCGGAACGGCCTGTCCAAATCATCGAGGTGGTCCGAGGGCTTCGGGAGCCGAAGACTTCCAACAACGCGGCCTCTTTGAGGAGCTTGTCCTGAAGTGGAGGAAACGAGGAAACGACGAGGTCGTGGTGTTTTGGGTTTTGGTGGTGTTTTGGCTTTTTTTTAACAAGGCCGGGTCGAATAGAAGCCGTCTCTTTTTCCCCGGGTGGTGTTCCTTTTGGCAGGCCGGGGGTTTGGGAAACGGAGCTTTTTGCCAGGGGGGGTCCGCGGTGGTGGTCGGGCGAGTCGGCGAGTTGGTTAGGAAGTGATTGGGTGAAAGTCGGCCATCTCCAGAAAAGTTGGGAGGGCGCGGCCCAAAACATAAGGCAGCATCAGGTCCTGGGCAGGAGGTCGGGTAGCGGGAGGAACGTGTTCTTCTTTGGAAGTATATGTTAACAGGTTGACTCCAGTCCTCAGGGTGACTATGTAGCCTGCTGGCCTGCGCCTTCCACAGATTGAAGAAGGCATTCCCCAACCAAAATCACCAGGTATCGGTATATGTGGCTGTAGGTCAAAACAAGGATACCGACGACACACGACCTACCTGGAAGGTGGACAGCTCGCTACATGGTGGACTGGTGGGCTCCAAGTTGACCTATCAAACCAGTCCAAATCATCCAAACCAGTTCTCCGTCTGAATGCTGCGGAGGGTCGGTCTTCTCCGCGTTTTGCCACTCGAACTTGACAGCTACAAGCTGATTCTCCTCGAGTGGCAAACACAGCTGGATGCAACAGCGGGACTCGCTCCCATGGTGTGCTCGCGAACCGAGGGTTCCACCGGCTCCCCTGTTGAGCTGGGGAAGATGAAGACCCTCCAAGAAACTGGCCTTTCTTGTAGTAAAGAGAGAAACCGGACACCGGGAAACCCACAAGACATCAGACATCTATGCTGTGAATCGACGAGAAAATGACGTGAAATGTGTCACTTATTGTTGTGCTACGTCGTGGTAAAAGACCGATTTACGCCATGTCGAGCAAGCACTATCAACACCTTCAACGTACGAAATTTAAGCGTCGAGACACACAATCGTGCTCAGCTCTCGAAGAAAAAAGGAGCTTCACCTGCCCTGCTCATGCCCCAGTCACCAATATATTGCATTGCGATCCTCAAAGAGACAAATTGAGTGAGTGCACCCTTTCAAAATGTCTGGGATTGAATTTAAAAAGAAACTTACAGTATCTGTGGGGACACTAACTTCATTGATTCACGTAATGAGTACTTTAACATGGTATATAGAATTCAAGACTACACTATTAATGTTGCATACCAAGAATAAGTTAAATGGGATACACCGACAAAGAAAAGTTACCCTTATTATATATATATATATATCACTCTTTTCCGACCGAACAAAAGAAGTAGCTGGTCCACCCCCCCCCCATCTGGCCGACTTCCCTCCTCCTTGTCGAAGGCTAAGTGTACCTCAGTTCTGAAAAGATCGAAAATCGAAGCAAAGCTTCAGGCAGATCCGTTGATCGCTACAAACCTCCCCGGAGTGAACTCAAAGAAGGCAGGTCCTTCTGACCCCCCCCTCCTCGGGAATCAGAGGTCAAAACAAGAGAAACGGAAGGTGGGAGGTGAGATTGTATGGGGTTTCTCTGTCACAAAGATAGATAACCAGTAGTAAAACCAGGAGTCACTTCCGGCAAGACAAATCCTCTTGGCACAAAGACCCAGGACACCGCAGATTTGGATGGTGTTCGTCATCTGTCCGACCAGTGCCCCAAAGGCACGACAGGCTTGTTTGCAGGCGCGCACCCACCACCATGGTCACCCTCATTCCTCTCTCATCCCTGACCCTCCTCCCAAAAAGAGTGTCAATCTGAGGAATTTGTCAGAAGTATGCAGTATGCCAAAGTATGGTAGAACACAAATTAGACCTTGTCAGTCCAGGAGTGTTGTCATTTTCGTTTGACCTTGGGGCCTCGAAACCGAAGGATGGTACGAAGCCGCAGCCGATTTTATTTGATCTAGGAGAGACACTTCTCTGTGAAGCCAACCAGTGAATGCAAAATGGATCAAGACATAGACCAACCACAGAAAATGTGCCTTGAAAATGCGCGAAATGGAGCAGCCACCTGCTGTAGTTTGCACCACAAAGTGATCTCCTAGATATGTAGAAACATCTTGAACTCAATCTTCCTCCATCTAGTAGGTAGAAACATCTGCACCTGCTGTAGTTAGGTAGATGTTTCTCTGCACCACTCCATCCCATCTGGTTTCTGCCCTCTTCCTCCTCACGCCATGCCGAGCTGCGACACTGTACGAGCCGCTGCCCAGCTTCCGCAGGATCTGGAAGCGCCCCACCGACTTCGGCACGGGCGGCCGGCCATCGGAGGCCTGCGCCGGGCGGAAGCACGCCGAGCGGGTCGGGCGGCCGGGAGGTGTCTCACCACGAAGCGTTTCGCCCATAGAGAATGGAGGAAGAAGCACCAAGCTGTTCAGCAAAAAGGAGCTGCACCAAGCTGGAACTGGTCTGGACATGTCTGGATCCCTGTTGATCAAGTCTTTGGCGACCGCCTACTGCCTCCAGGGCCTCCAGTTTGGTGTCTTTCAGCGGAGTTGGCAGCTCGGTCGTGGAACTGGTCTGCTTGGCATACAAACCGCTTCTGGTGGTACACTCTGAGCCACTCACGTGGAAGTGGACATTGGACCCCCTCAACGTGGAGCCTGGCGAAAGACCCACCAGGCAGCTCGTGCCCGGTCGCCCTTTAACCACAGCCATTGACCTTTGATCTAACACCACCCACCCAGAGTTCTCAGGTTTTACCTCCCTACACCTCCCCACCCAAAAGCGGCTCTGGTGACACCAGATCGGGTAGATCCACTTGATGCGGACCACCCAAATATATTGGCCCAAAAAAAAGGGAATTGGTTCACTAGTAAGGTCCGTCACAAGGCCGTTCCGTGAACAGCTGCAGCTAGTGTGTAGGTCGGTCATCACGGTCGTCACAGAAGGACCGATCGTGATCGGTCCCAAAACGGTCTCCGACGAAGGACGGCTTCGGTGTTTGCCCTTCTTCCATCCGGGGGTCCCAGCATATGCACCAAGCTGGAGAAGTGGGGCATTTCGAATGGCCCGTCGCAAGTCTGAAGCACCATGTCGGACCCATAGAGACAAGCACCCTGAACACCCTCAGCCCAGAGCTCATCCTCGTCTCTCATTTGTCCACACCTGCCTCACTAGATTCATCCGGCAGCACGTCATCAAAGTCGAGCTCTGGACGCACCGAGCCCATCGCTCGCGCCAGCTTGGGACGCCCCAGCGCCCGCCGACACGACCGCAGAGCCGCAGTGGCTTCCACGTGCAACGCGGAGGGTTTGCCGAAAAAACACGGTGGGTTGGAAGAAGGCAACGGCTGGCTTGACTCGGTTTCCTGGCGAGATAGCACCGGATGTGCATGCCTCCACGTTTCCCCACGTAAAGTGCCCAGATGCCCCCCAGATTGAGGAGTCGATGAAGGCAACTAGACTTTCGACTCCATATACTATTGAAAGTTTAAAGAGAGAGATCTGCTCATCCATCAATCTGCTACTAAGTACCCGCGTCCACAGCCCACACGTGGAATAGCCTTGGTCCTTCTCTTGAGCTTGTACCCAGAGTTTTGCCTTAAAGAGACCTAACGCTTTCGCACGAGAAGAAACAAGTAAGTAACCAAAGACTCACTGAAACAGCTACGAAACACGGCAAGCTATTTCCTCGGGCGGCCCTCATCCAACATCATGGCGACCATCCAAAGCTCCATTCGGTGATGGTCGTCCACCGAAGGATCAAACGGAATTGGTGGTCAGTAGACCGCGCAGGACCCGGTACGACTTCGTTCCTAATAGAAAAAGGGTACCCGAGCGAGACGTTCCCTTTTGGAGCCCGAAAGCGCAAGTGGGGTCGGACGTCCCATGTGGGTCGTAACAACGACGAGATTGGATGGTGCAGACGTTCGGATGTTGGGGTCACTGTTTGGGTCGAGGGTTCCATGTCCCTGGGACGAAGGCGCAGCCATTAGCCGGTGGTTGAAGACGAGGTGGTTTGCTCAAGGGGTGGTTGGAAAGGTACGCATGGGTTTTGACCTATAGACATCCATAGACGACCATATGCATGGAGTGTCTGTAGACCATGGGAGAACACCAACATCCTCCTCCTCCGGAGATCCGGATGGTTTGGAGTCCCATGAAAAGTGAGCCGATGTGATGCGCGGGGCACCCACCTCCTTCCCTTCCTCCCTTCGCACGCCCTCCATGGAACTGCCGGGTGGATCTGGAGTGACTTTGCTTCGAATGAAAAAGGACCATGGAATCCAACCAGCCAAGAAGAAGGGTCCAAACCAGCGTCCAAACAGGACTCGACTCGAAAATCAGGGGCAGGAGCAAAAAGGGAAGACCTGCGAAAGAATTATAGAACAGGCCAGGTGCCCAGACCTGTGGATGGGGCAACCCGGTCATCTTAGCTCAGAGGCTCACCTCATCTGCATCGAAAATCCGCTGGATGTCCATCCCTGGAAGATCTCTACCTCAATTTTCCCAAGCCATCCTTCCGAATCCTTCCTGCTTTTTGGAAGACCAGAAAGAACCACCGCTCCTCCCGACCGCTCCGACCGTTTTCACCGCTCCGGGTTCCCCGGGCATCACCGACAGACGTTCTCGGATCGAGCGGCGCGCAGCGCCTCGGCGGTGTCGGAGCCGGCGCGTCGGAGCCGCGGCGGTGTCGGTCTGAAGCTCCGATGTTCGCAGTTCGAGTGCCAAGAGCTACGAATGTCTGTTCCTTAGATCTGATGATCGAGGGTCGATTTTTGGGTGATAATTCCCTTAGTCGACGGCTAACAAAAAAACTGTTCGGATAACCTAGGAACACTGACGAAACCCCGTTCCGGACCGTCAAGAATCTATGGTTGGTCCAACCCGACGTGTCCCGGGCGATTGGGGCTGCGCGGGTGTGCGGTCGCATCCCTCCGGTCGACTCGAGCAGTGCGGGTGAACGGCATCCTGGAACCCTCTAGATGGAATGGCCCTCTAGAGCCACCAAACGCTCATGGATGTTGGAACCAGAGTGTGGCAAAGAGCAGAAAGGAAGTATATAATAGTGGACCCCCAAAGACGATGTGTTTTGCTTAGTTGAGTAAAGGAAGTGCCCTTTCAAATCCCCTAAAGAAAGCTGTATAACTAGTCCTTTGATGGTCTCTGACTCCCTGGCAGACCCAACCGGGACCCGAACCAAGTCCGGGTACCTCACTCTATCAGTACTTTTGAACACCTGGGTCGGTCTTATAAACCGGATATTCTCTGTTTACAAGTTCTGGTGAAGGGATCTGGATTGTTCAGCCGGACTTTGGAAGCCTTTGAGCCTCACCAGTTCGAAATCCGAAGCAAACCGGCGCACCTGCAGCGTCCTCCACGTCGGAGATGACGTCGTCCTGGCCGCGAAGGGAGGTTCCGGGTCAGGGTCCGGGCTGGACACGCGGTGACGGATTTTGAAATGGTGTATATCCTATGTCAGAAGGAAAGCTGCTTTTACCTGGCGGATTGAGGGGTATCACAGAGAAGGGCCCCAAAAATACCTCTTGATGAGACGAGATCTTGAAGGAAGGCCTCTACCTTACCTACCAGTCAAAGCGAAGCAGCCATGGAATCTAGGAGAGTGGTCGCACCCTTCAAATCAATCATGCTTAACCTTGCAAACAGTCGGCATGTGACTGTGAGTCAAAACCCAAAGCTGCTTGATGCTTGCCCGAAGGATTGATTCCCCAACCCTGCTTCCTACTCTTCTCCACTTCAAAAATCCGGCAGCAGGTCGCGCCTCCTCCTCCTCATCGTCACCTATGTTTCCAGATCGGTGGGATGCTGCCATCAACCCATTCATTCGGAAAAAGTTTCAACGGTCCCTTGAAAGACGACTTTCCTCTGCCTGTCGAGGGCATATGTTCTGCAAAAATTTTTGGGTTCTTGGTTTTTCAGAGGTCCATGAAGAAAGACAGTTAGTCTAGATGGTTTCGGGGCTGAGCCATAACGTGCAAAACCCCAAATCCCTTGATTTGGAGGGTATTCGTACAGTGTTTGCCGGCCAAGCTGATCTAGCTCAGTTCAGGGCTTTCTCTTAGTTCGTGCAACCGTGACAAGGGATTTGGCAGCACCATGCATCGCTCTCCCTTTTCTTGAGGGACGCAGAAACTCACAAAAATCAGACTAGAGCCATTGTTACCCATGCTTCAACAAATGAACGCCAAAAACTGCCGCATGTGTCAGATCTAATCTCCTATCTATCCTCTACCAAGCACCACTTTTGGGATGCAGGAAGCAAACCTTAAGAATCCGTGCTTTGAGAAAATCTACAGACCTCCAGAGCCTTTGTCTGGCTCCGGGCGTTTGATCATCTCAAGTCAAGGTCAAGGTTGAAAATAATCTCTGAAACCACCACCCGGAAAGTGTTCGACCAGCAGAAAAGCAGTTGGAGATTCATATCACCACGCAGCTTATACCAAGCACCCCCAGCATGCTTGACCTGTAGGGCTTTTTTACCGAAGCCGACCCCACCCCACCCTCAAGCACCGAACCAGCGTTCGGCCAGGAACCCTACAGCAAACAAAAGGATCAGAATCGGACTTCGATCGTTCGGTCATGGACCACCCAGGCTGCTTGACGTCCCCGTCTGGTCCCTTCCGATACTTGACATCTCCCGAACCTTCCTGACTATGTCCCGAACCTCCCTGTCTTGGGTCGTTGCCGTTCAGAGCTACGCAGCTACCCATCTGCCCAAGGCACTGAAGGTGTATTGCTCCGCCCCAGGGTGCTCCTGCGCGAAGAAACGGCGCACAGAAGATTTGGGGACCCCATGGAGCAGGAATTGACCATTCTACAGCAGAGTAAGTTTACTTAGGAAACGACCCGACTTGCAGAGTGGAGTGTGGGGTCTACTATCAGGCATTGACTGATATGGGGAGGCCATTTGTGGGTCCTACCTACTCCCTCAAGACCATGCCAAAAGGACCAACTGGAATCATCATGTTCGGCCCTCTAAAGCAACCCGGACGCTTTTGCTTTTGTGCCCCTCCGGTGTGGTCGAGTATATACAGTAATATCGCCGTGAGGTGCGAGCGTGAAAACCGGTTTGACCAGTGAAAATGAACCAATTCCACTCGCGAGGACTGGCTGCAGTGTTCCTCCTCCTTGGTCCGAAACGCACGTCTTGCTAAGCAGAAGGAAGAGAATTTGCACATCGTTCGCTGAATTTGCCATCGTGTTCTTCTTGCAGGCTTACCAAGCACCTTTCTTGAATGATGAACACTGCTGTTTTCGGAAACCCATGCCAAAGGTAATGGTTCATGGGGAAATGTATGCTTGACCCAGGGATATGCTCCCTAATTTTCGCAGGCACAGCTTGATGTGCTGGTGCAAATTTACTGCAGGGTCTCTTGCAAGGGCTTGAATATCTTGGGAGTTCGCTTTGACTGAATTCCACACTTTTGTTTAGTGCGTCTAAACTTTTACAGTTGTGCAGAGACAGCATTGCTCACTTTGCACTTTGCTTTGGGACTGGGGACTCGCGCTCGAAAGGCAAAAATCGAGAGCAACATTTGTTTTGTAAAGGATGTCAACCTACCATGATTCTATGTCAACCTGAAGTTTGCACCAACACCCAAATGATCAAAACCATGTTGGCGGTGTCAAGAGTTCCATGTTGGCTGCGAACGTCTGACATCGTCGACTCCTGGTGTGGATGGTTTCTTTCGTCGAACTTGGAGGCTTTACCCAGGCGATATTGGTTTTTGTCCGACTCAGCGCCACCCCGGTGCTGGAGGCCGGACGGGACGAGCACATGCACTAGGAAGGCGGCCTATCTTTCCGAAGACCCAACAGGTGGAGTGAAAACTCTGCCAGTGTAGACCTTATAACTTATTACCCTAAAAAAGGCAGATCCTGTCCAACTTTGATTGGTTGCTTCAATGGCTGAACGAAAAACAAAACAAAATGTCTCAAAGACACCCCAGCCAGCCGATGTGGAAAAAAAGATCCCTGGTAGATTGGGGGGAGGTACTTCAATCCACCCTGGTGAACCAGGTAGCAATTTACTTCAGTTTGCTTGGATCTGCATGGGATCTTCGGAAGTGTCTTTTTCCACCCCTCAGCGGGCCGCTGGCCCGTGTCAACCCCACCAGTCCCTTGGCTGGCCTCGGGTGTCGCAGAGGGTGCTGAGCCTCAGTTTCAGAGCATCCGCGAAGATCACGTGATTTTTCAATCCGCAAAGTGGGATGGACCAAACAAATGACGTACAGACTTCGGAAGATATACATATAATATACAGTGGTTTCAGAGTGCATGGTTCAAACCCCAAGATGTTTTTGGATGGGGATCCATATGAACCACCTTTGGTGATTTTGCCACCTACTCTTAATCCACTGTATGTATATATATATATGTATACTAGAGAACACATGTTGCTTGAAACAACGAAAACAATCAGCATAGCAACGCAATACAAAACTATATGAAATATATAATGGGGGCGAACGTAAATAAAGAAGAAATGCAAAGAAAACTAAAAAAGATATAACCCCAGGTCCCATGGTTCTTGCTTTTTCCAATGTTAGAAACAACTTTCTAAATTTCAATATTTTTAATCAACTAGAATATCACTACCCTTTCCCGAGGGGGGACGTCGAAAATTGTAAGTTACATTTTCCTATGCGGAGGGCCTCAAAAAAATATAAAGACATTAACTTTGAGGTGGCCTCAAAAAGGATAACTTACAGTTTTGAGGCCTCATGGGTGATTTCCTGGGAAATGATCTCAAAAATGTAAATTACTTTGAGGCACGGTGGGGCGCTTACATTTTTGACCCCCCCTGAGTCTGTGTTTGTCTGATTTTGTCCTGCTGTCTCAGGATGCAGGCAAAAGGTGAGATTTGCAGACGTCAAAAAATGTAACTTACAATAGCCCACGCATCCAAACCCTCAGATTTTGCAGGGCATACCTGGGTTATGTGGGAAAGTTTGACCTCGCAAATTGTAACTTACCTTTTTGCCACACGCCTAAAACCCCCCCAGAATTTACAAGGAACTGGGGTGTCCTCCTGAGTTAGTTACATTTTTGCATACTGAAAATCACACACCAGCGAGCAGGGGGCAAGCAACCAGGGGATCAAACAGCATTGAATATAAAATGCACGATGTCTTTCTCCAGCATGACAGGGTTGCCCCCTTGCAACAGAGCTAAAAACTTACACCCTGCTTTCAGCTTGATGTCAAAATCTGGACGACTTTGCTTGGTGTCCAAGGGCAATGGCAACAGCCAAAAAAGATGAGAAAATCTTTGCAAGGTAAAAAATGGCGCAACCAAACACTGGTGTCGAAGCACGGAGGCCCAAGCACCGTTGGCACTGGATGAGGAAGATCCTCCCAGGGCATCTCGTCTGATTTCAATACTTTTTCAACATCGTCAACCATCCAAGGGACAGCGTCCAGCCATGGCTCGCCTTCATTGTCTGGATGACAGCACACAATTGTCATACCCGAAACAGAATGGCCATAATACTTCTGCACGATATAAGCATAGATGTTCAGCTGCAGCCGGTAATGCCACACAGATGTGTCTGGAATATGGGAGAGCGGTGGCAGCATGGATACCTGTCAGAAAGGCCGAAGCTTCCTCCAAGCATGAGACGACCATGGTCGCCAATAAGCTGTAGGAACCCGGGCCCAGCGTCCGTCCGGACGCATGCAATCGGGCCTTGGAAATCCGAGACAGCCGGGTCTCGCGTCCGGGACTCCTGCGCACATCCACAGACAGAAAGACTGCGTGCCAAAAAACCTCGCCGTGCAAAATCATCACGACCTCGACACTCCACTGTCCACGCCGTCCTGGAGCGCGTATCGAGTCGGGGTGACTCGCCGCGAGGAACGTCGCGAAGGTGCGGCGCACAGGACGGCGCGGCCACCGCAGAACGAAGGTCGGTGGCACCTCGTGCGGCCGTTCGAGAGCACCGTCACTAGGAAACATGGTATCCAGGGCCGACGGAGAAGGAAGGTGGATCGACGTCTTTTAGTGGAAATGGTAACAGAATACATATCAAACAACAACGAGGGATATCCGCCAAGCGACATGGCCCCATTTTCCCCGCCCTGTTCCCACACCCCGCCCCGGCGACCAACGGCCGTCTGCGTCGAGCGGCGCGGCGGAGGCCGGAGGTGCGGAGCCACCGTCGGTCTCGCCAGGCGCAGGGGTGGAGACACCGTCGGTGCGCCATGCGGCAGGAAAGCTTACAGTCGGGGGTGTTGTGGTCTTGTTTCGTGCCACCGGTATGCCCTGACAAAAAACCGACAACACTTGTTCAGAAACGATACGGCATATAGCGGACAGATGTGTTCCGAGACCTGGTGATGCAAGGCCGTGGTTGCTGTAGTTGCTGCGCTTGTGACCTTGACTGGGTGCGACACTTCGACGGAAAGACATGTCCAATACGAAAGGTGGTTGGCTTCCCATACTTCGTTGGATGCATCGAACTTATGTTAGCAAACTGTTGAGAAGGCTGAATGCAAGAAGTGTCGACGACATCTCAAACGAGTACGAGGCATGAGACAACAAGCAAGTGCTATAGCAGCTATATGCAAGCTTGCAAGCTATGCTCTTTGCCAAAGTACTGTTCAAGGAACCCACAGTCGCTTCCGAAAAACACAGTAGCCGCTCTCTGTTCTGCGCAGCTCAAGTAGGTGGGAAACCACCAGCGTCACTTGCCGTTCCACAGTGTGTATTTAGCACAGGATCCGGCTTTAGTGCCTGTAGAGAAGGCTTCGAGGAGGGGGGGGGCGACTACGACTCTTCCCACTACCACGACTTTTCCCACTTCGAAGGGCGGGGGGGAGGAGAAACACGACTACAACTACTTTTCCCAGTGCGAGGGGGGGCGGACGACTACTACTACTACTACTACCACTACTACTACTACTACTACTACTACTACTACTACTACTACTACTAC